TCAACTCATCTCTCTTAACGAGACAACTTAGCGACCATGCGCCACCTTTCGGAGATTTTTATCACTACTTTTGATCGAAAAATTATTTCAGGGCATATATCACCATACATGTACATATCAAGCCATTTCAAGCAATATATGGCTTATTTTTATATCAGACCACAGATATAAATATCGACGTTCTAATTAGCAAACTGTCTAACTCCATTTTAGATAATCTTCTATTTGTACGAAAAAAACAGTTAGTTTAAAATTTATTATCACTTTAAAAAACCATTTAATATCATTATTATCTTATAGAGATATAATATATAGGTTTGAATCATTCAAATAATTTATAATTCGATTATGGCTACATCAAAATGTTAAAAAATCACCCTCTAAAAAATAAGGAGTTAGACAAATTGCTAATTAGACCGTCGATATATAAAATTTTCCGATATTATCATGTAGGATCGTTTTAAAATCTTATCCACTATGTTAGGAGAAAAAAGGGGGTGAAAAGGGGGAGAAAAATTGAAAAAACGTTTCATGCTCTTAAAATTAGATTCTAATATGTTAAACTCGGATATGATCAAAATTTGAAATCATTGCGATGAATAAATTTTGAAAAATTGAGATTTTCTTATTTTTAGGCATGCAAACTTTTTTTTCGGCTGGTGACAAATTGTTTAATAATATTTCAATTTTCAGTTTTCAACCATATAAATGATGCTCTGAAGCAGATCTGTGAACTACTTTTTAAAAGTAACCCAAAAACAAATTAACAAATGAGTAATAATAATAAAGATAAAGAAAAATTCGGGTGTCACCAATGGATATTTTGAAAGGGATGCACGTGGTAAACAAACGAGTGGGGATCAATATAAGTAATGTGGAATGACGATAGTACAGCTCAGTGAGTAAAGTGAGAGTGCCCGTGAGTTATTCTGAATCTGGTGTATCATTGCGAGTTGGTCTATCATGAAGGTACTTACCATTGCCTATGTTTCGTGATCTGGATTCATTATATATTACGCACCGCATGTTATATCTCATATAAATACATACATCATGTTATATTATACTCGCAATTATCTCATCATCATTATAATCCATGTGTTGTGCTAATTAATAAGTATTAAATTCAAGAGTAATTGCTAGTTTAAATTATCTAGCTAATTTCTGAGGATAACAAATATAATGAATATAATAGTGGATTCGCTAATTGTAGTTAGTGTTTTTTTTTAGTTATTATTATTATTATTATTATTATTATTATTATTTTATGTTTGGTGGATATTTTGTACGAATGAAAAAATATTTTAAAAAATAAAAATAATTCGAAATTAGAAAGGAAATTTTAAAAATCGGTGTATCAATTTAAATCTTACCAATTATTTGTTCGTGAAAGTTTTCACTCGTGCCCGTAACCTTTGAGAGAGTTTACGTTCTATGTACGTTCATTTATATACATGTATGTATTCAACACATACGTATGTGTTTAAATATGTTCAATACAAAAAGATATAACTGACCGACAAAATGGTTTAAAATTTCATTTAGCAAGTGGTAGGCTCGAATCTAGAGTTCGCAAAAAGTATTGACATGTGATATTGCATCGACAATTAGAAAGCAGTGCTCGTAGAAATCAAGATTGCATTTTTTAATTTACAAAAGCTAATAAGAGAATTAGCGGAAGAAGAAGAAGAAGAAGAAGAAGTAGTCGAGATGTGGGCAGAGAGATAAAATAATTCATAGTGAGTTTTAACAGAACCATCAGCAAGTTGTTATTATTTTCGCTATTGAGGTCACCAAGATCAAGGCCGACGCTCAAGATCACTTTTACTCCGGACCGTTACTTTTTTCTGATAGATTGTTATTCAATGGCTAGATTAATTTTCGATTTATTTTGTTACTCAATTCTTATGGTTTACGGTACAGTGGGTGATATTAATTCTTTGATAACGTGATTAGAGGTTATTCGGGGATTTAGGGGCTGAATTTTAGAGTTTGTGATTTAGTTTCGATTGTATTAGAGGAATTTTTTTCGTACCGGTATTAATTATTTCACTTTTAAAAAGTTTTTTTTTTAAATATTTTGAAAAACTATCTAAAAAAAGGAATTTTCATTTGTTTTTAATTATTGTTTAATTTAATTGTTAAAAGACGTTTACATCAAAAAACATTTTTATAAATTTACAATTAATTATCGATTTTTACACTTTTAAATCTAATTCTTACAGTTTAAAATGCAATTCTCACAGAATTCATAAAAATTATGATCTAAATCTGTGTAATTATGATTACAGAAAAATTCTTGATTTAGGATAAATACTCTCGGCTCAAGAAAGTTTTCGGGTAACCCATGAACAAATTTTTCATATGGTTATAAATAATCTTTCAACCCAAATTAGTGTTAAAAATCCCGATAGATGGCGCATGGCCGCTAAATATTCTCTCTACAAGAGATGTAACTTGTGAGATTTAAATAATTTCTTTTTGACACTCTTTAGAAGCTTATCTGACATTGTTTTCTAGTTTGACAAACTATTCAGCCAATTTTTATTTGATATGACACATTAATTGACGTACAAATTTCCAAAGAAAAAAAAATTAAAAATAAAACTACAGTATTTCTTGATTTTCATATACAGAAAATTTTTCCACGGACAGAAACTGAAGAAAATTTTCTGAGATAAAAAAAAAAATTTCAAAATTTTCAAATTTAAGATTTTCAATTATTCTTCTCAAGTAATACACTATCATGTTAATTTATTAATCCAAGTTGATAAATTTTTTAAACAAAAAAAAAAACTTGTCCCTTTCTTTTGTCAATTACAGAGACTAATTTTTCTCTTTTTCATTTGATTCAAAAAATATTATCCGTATTTCCGTCTCAAATAAAACCTAATAAAATAATTGAAGCCACAAAAACAAATGAATAAACTATCGTCACACATACACTTAATTCTTACATTGTGGGCGTCTAATAAGACAAGTAAACATAAAATACGACAAAACCCATCATCTTACCGACTTTCTCCAACAAAACAACAAAGTTTGTTACTCCCCACTTGCTGCACGTCTGCCAGCATAACGTCACAACGCTTCCTAATTCACAACAATGCTTATCAAAATAATATCTCTTATAATCTTATAAATTTGTATCGAATTCAGTACCTGACTACCGAGATGGCTTTCGCCAACGTGAGCATGTCCTTCATTCCTTTATTAAATTTCTATATAATTAAAATAAATTAAATTAAACATTCAGATTCATCCGCACATTCGCACATTCCATATTTTATTTAAATTTCATACACTACCATGGTAATTAGAGTGTGTGCCCATTAAGAGAATAATAATATTAAAATAAATACCCCAGTTATTTAATTTAATTTCGCGCCAGCTTTAAAAAAAGTTAATGAAAAGATTTAATAATCAAATCGAGTGAATTTCTCATTACTCATTACATAAAAGCCGGAAATATTGAAAAATATATGTTTCGTATTCTGATAAGTCATTTATTTATATAATTGAAATTTTTCCATTGGAGACAGTGCAATTACGAACTCCGTATTTCCTTGGTAATTAAATCTCAGATTGTGAATTTTTTTATTTTAATATAAATTTTTAGTATGTTAATATACTTTCTTAAATTTACAATTTAATTATTTATTAACTGAGTTATTAATAATAAGAGAAAGTTTTTTATCATTGACGAGTGACTCAAAAACTATGAAATGAGAAAATTTATGTTTTTTCTTTTTTAATAAATAAATAAATAAATGTAAGGTTAGTTTGGGTTCATGGTTATATTAAATTTCTCTTTTTATGTGAAAGATTCGATAAATTTATTTAAATGTTGAAAAATATGTTGGTATTATGATGAGAATAATAAATTAGAATATCAATAACCCCGACTAATAATATTTTAACTAAATAGCTTGAGACTTGAGACATGTTCTTTTTTTTTTTTTTTTGATTTTCTAACATTTTACCATAAAATATTCCCAAAGAAAACTCTTAAACTTTCATAATAAATTTTTTCGTAATCATAATGGAAGTTTTATTAATTAACATCGGAATGTATGCATTTATACGGTACGTTGAAGGGATTTATTTCACTCCGGCATTCCGAATGAGCCTAGATTACACATTCACTAATTTCTTAGAATGTACCCCAGATAAATTTGGTAGAGGTGCGGAGAATTTCAAAATTGAATAATTTCCTCTAGTTCATCATCAACGAGTGTTCATTAGAATATACAAGTAATGCTTGAAGATGCTGCATATCAATTCCAGGAGCAAATTTTATAAATTAATTATTAATAAAAAATTTATAATCATCGACATTGTTATTCTTGTTAAATTAGGGGAGTAATTATATGTACATACTCAAACAACTTCAGCTCAATTGTGTGGACTTAAAAATAATAATAATAATTATTATTATTTTAGAATAATTTATTCGAATAGAAGCTAAAGGTAACGTTACCTCGGAGGCGCGAGTTCGATGATAGGATAATTGTTTGAATTAATTTGCTATTCATGAAAAGCGGTAATCTAATGACTGATTGCAATGTTGCAGCGAAGAGCTCCAGTCATTTTTTAAATCCAATAAATTTCAATTGATGTTACTGGATTCGAGATATTTTATATAAATAGAACATTTCCATTGATTTTGACTCGATATATTTTCAATGTTCATTCCATCGGGAAAATTATTCATTATCGTTTATAATAGGTGCTCGTAATAAGAGATGAATTCGAGAAATTGTTGTATTGTTCGTCGAATTACATCATTAAATAATTAATAAAAAATCAAAAACATGAAGACTGGTGAATAATTGATTATTATTTAATAGTAGGGATTACATTTTAACCGGATAATTAAATATTGAATGAACATTAGAGGTACTTGAATAATAAATAAATTCCTGCAACCAACTTCATAAATTTATTAATAACAAAATTTTAATCATCAACTGTGTAATATGGTAATTTGTTTAAATAAAATGTTGATCGATGGTCAGGTACTGCTTAAATAATTAAAAATTAATCGACAACTTAAGGAATTATTGAGTTTAAAAACTGTTGGAGGGTACAATAAACCTCTAGCCGTTTATTTCTGGATTTAAATAAAAATATATGAACCGGTGATAATTGTTCGGTAGCGAGATTTAAACAAAAGTTTAAAGGATTTTTGATGGGACTTTAATCTGAGCAGACTTTCAAGAGCAAATCTTTTTGGATTTTGTTGCTAAAAATTTTTGTTGTTTTTTTCATGTTTATTCATTTGTAAAAAGCCGGTGATTCGGGAGTGGTGATTGCGCTTAAGCCGAAGCGAGCGCTAACGAGTGTAGGGTCGGAATAATCACTTTAATTGGTATGATTGATCTTTAACCACGACCATGCAAAAAATCTCTCTAAAAAGTTTACCTCTAGTTATAAAATTTATCTAATTTTTCTATGAATTTTTTTAATATAAAAAATAAAAATAATGATTTACATAGTGCATGTTGTTTATAATTTATTTGATCACTAGTTATTTTTATTAAAGCAAAATATAAAATTGTTTAGCTGTCAGTATTATTACTGACTTTCGCAACAATATCGGCGTCCCCGGAAGTACCGAACGACGAATTCTTGAAGCGGGCAGCAGCACAATTGGACCGTTTATCTCAGTACAAAAACGTGAAGCTCGAAACAAATGATCTTCTGGAGCCGATTCCGAGGCACGAGAGCTCACGAATCAGGAACAGAAATGAGGAGAAGAAAGGAGATACCTTACAGAGAAATTCGGCCTCAGAGCAGGAGATCTTGCTAAACGAGGACGCAATGAGGAGGATCGACGAGCTTGCAACTAATGCCTACAAGCTCTACAATGACCCTAATTATGAAACAATCATGCGGGAGAGGATAAAGAGATCTGGCAGTGGCGATTTCATATCTGGAATTGCTGGGAAAGTATTAAGTGGAGTTACCGGATTATCGGGAGGATCTAGCGGCGGTGGTCAAGCTTACGATTCCTACGGTGCACCAGTTCAGCCTGTAAGTCCATGTTAAATTGTAATTACAGTTATCATTGAAGTAATTAGTAATTTAATGCTTGTAATTGAAAGTTTTCTTTACTCTCTTGATTGCTTATTCATTGAAAATAAAATTAGATAAAAAATTCATGAATCAAGAAAAATTTCTCAGTTCTCGAATTTTTCTCTCAAATCCAGTTAATTTTTAACTTCCTGCTAAGAAAATCAATGATTTTCAGAAAATTGGGAAGTTATTGGTTCCTATAGTTAAATTTGGTACCATAAGAATGGTCGTAACCTGAATTTATGATGTCTTTTCACAGTTTGATATTTTTTTCGGCGATAATCAATTTATCATCTAAAAAATTAAAGGAATAAGCAAAATTTGGTAATTGGCGTATTTTTATTTTGAAAAGAATATTTATAGTTTAATTTTGTATCATCAAAAAAGTCATGACGTAAATTTATGATTTTTATATATTTTGTGGTAACAATTTTTGATGTCACGTTGTTGGAGGAGTTTTGGATAGTTCATTAGTTCTATAAGTTATTTTCCGTGACATTTGTCTATTAAATTATTGGTTATTGATCTTGTGATACCAATATTATTTTTAAAATTTCTTTCAAAAATATTCCAACTGTATATTGTGATTAAAAACATCGAAAAATCACCAAGCCAAGCTAAAACAATTGAATATTTTTCTTGTAGCAACGTTGCAATTTAACTGGGTCATAGGCAATACTCGAACACAGAATACACACACGAACAATGTTAAAGTTAGATTACCATTATGGAGGGAAATTTATCCAAGAATAATTTTTAGTTTTTATTAGTGAATTTCTTTTTCTCTCTCGTCTGGAACTCTTAACTTTAATCCTTTTCTTTTTTTCTTTTTGCACACCGCATTGACGAGCAAATAAAGGTGGTGGTATTAGTTTGTGAGCCAGTTCTTTACTCGGCTAAGCGTATTATATATAAAAGGTAATACTCAACCAGCATCTCACTATTTCAATCCATCCTGTTTACCTTAGACATAGAGTCTTACTCCTTATACTGAGTAAATATTTACCCCTCTAGCTACGTATTTTAAATAAATTTCCTTTACTTTTATTCGCAATTCAATACACTTATTATACATTTTAACTTTAAACATATATACATACATATAAATGTATTTATTTATTCATTTACTTTGCTTAATTTACATAGTGAATGCAGACTGATAGTTATTATTATTATTATTATTATTATTATTATTATTATTATTATTGTTATTTTGTAATCCAGATTGAGTATGATTTTATGATTAATCAGAAATAGCAAGTTATTTAAAGGACGTTTGCTTCTCACGTTATAGGAATTGTTTCATTTTGTATTTTCCATAAGACATCTAATCTATCTTAGCTGTTCAATTCAATATAATTGTGCTACAAGTACAATTCATTACTGAGCTTTCTCATTAATTGGTTTCAATCAATTAACGAATACAAAAACTTGTAAATTTTTTGCCCATCTTAGCACTGTTATTTATGGAATGGTGACACGACAAAATCTCCCCGACAAAATCTAATTTTAAATCATTTTAAATAATAATATTATTATTCCTGACAGTTTTGATGGTATTTTTCGTGTAAATATACACAAAAAATCATGATAAAAGGACACAACGAGATTTTGAAGCGTATTTTGTCGGGGAGATTTTGTCCGGGGAGATTTCGTGGTGGAACCATAAAGTAACAACTTATCTTCTTATAAAGTACAATTTTTCGAATTTTTCCACCCAGTAAAAATTAATTAACAGAAAACTACTTCAACAGTCTTTTTTCATGAAACCATTTTGTAATTATTTTCCATCTATCTTTTTCTGTTGAATATAAAAAACTTTTAATTCGTTGGCAAAACTTCATCCTTTGAATTTGCTAATTACAGTACGAACGACCTTTCACCATCTGGGACTTCAAAAAGGCGATATTGAACACGGTAATCCAAGCAGTAAAGGCGATAGCGGGTGGCGCGATCGCGTTCAAAGGTCATCTGATCAAAGGCGGTGGGTTCATTGTTCAAACCGGTGGCAGAGTTATTTCTTCAGCCGGAGAAGCCGCTGCTTCTTTGGGATCTCAGTTAGCCAGTAGCGCATTAATCGCCCAATCTCAGCCAGCAGCCTACAGTCCTCCCGCAGGATATTCTTACGACCCGCCTCAAAACCATGGTAATCATTAATTGCTAATTATCAAAGAAGCATGCGCTTTTAATTAATTAAATTTACTAATTTTATCGTTTTTGTGGCGTAGATTATTCGTATGACGGACCACCACCGAGCCACGACTCATATCAACCTGATGGTTACAACAATGGTCAATATAATGCTGCAAATGGTATGTTCTATTTTCTCAATTATTACTTTGAGGATCGAAGTCACATTGTCCAATATTCCAATGGACTATTTATATTTATTCAACAACATAACTAAAATAACTAACGTCTTTAATTAATCAAAAGCGTGCACTCACAAATAATTAATGATGTTTTGTTTTATTGACGGGTATTATGTGATCACTATACTCATTCCATATCAAATAACTTTTATTCTCAATATACTAATTTATTAATAATGTATTGTTACGATCTTCTGCTCTATATAACTACAATTTAAATTTTGTTGAACTAATGAAAAATTAATGAGTACTTGTATTTATAATTGTTAATTATTGCTGAATAATGTACACATAAGTAATTACCAATGTATTACTGGTTGCATACATTTTATTAATTATTGTTAATACTCTAGGAGGCATGCGTGTACGAACCTTTGGCTTTCGAAATTTTAAAATTTTATGATGCAAAGTCAAAAGGACGCATAAATTTTTTGTGCCATCTCATTTTATATTAATCCGTTGTGGATCTTCGATTTTAATATCCTCTAGTATTATTTTGATTCAGCTTTATTTGTAGAGCTTCTAATCACACAAACTTTTTTAGATACGAATTTTTTTTTTTAAGCCAAAAGGACATATAAAGAATCTATGCCTTTTTGGTTATAGGAATCCATAAATTTATTTCTATAAATCTTTGACCAAATTTAATCGGTAAAAATTTTTTTCTACGTCCTTTTAGCTCAAAATTCTATCTAGTTGCTGTAATACGCCCTTCTGGAATTTTGGATGCGATACAAGATTCGTTTTCCCGGAGTACATGGTGCTGCTGATGGCAAAAGAGTGTATAAAAAATTTGTATTTCTCCAATCAATTAAGAAATATAAAAATTTTCTATTTTTTTCGAACTTTTCGCTGTAGCAATTAGAGTTTTGTACTCAATCAAATTTCTTTTTTAAATTTTCAATTATTGACAATAAATTTTTTATACACCCTTATGGTCTGAAGATTTTTTTCTCAACACTCATGATGTTGCACCCATGATTATAAATATATTGCAGTTTTATGGTTTTCTTTTAAACAAATGAGAATTTAAAAAAAAAACTCTTTGCTACGAAATAGATAATTAAAAAATCTATTACGTAGCAGAGCATTTTTTTCAAAATTCTTCTTTGCCTATGAGAGAAATATAAAGCTGCAATCGTAGGGACCGACTGTTAAAGCTAAAAGAGCGTGCCTTAAAAAAAAAAATTAGATTTTCAATTTTTTAAATAAAATTTTACATTTCTCACACTCCTAAGTTAATTGAAAAACAATTTTTTTAGATTCTTTTTTGGTATTAGTAACGCAATATTATTAAATTTTTTATAATAAAATTAATACCTAAGACATTTTGAAATTTTAATTTAAAAAAAATCAGTCTTTTTTGTGATTTTCTGAACTCGCACATTGACGCCTCTTACCAAAGAATTTGATTGATAAATTTCACCAATAACAAAACTATTAACAAGACTAATTACTAATTATTGTTAATAATAAATATAATAAATGAAATATAATGAAGACTGACTGACTGACTGACGATTTACAGACGGTCCAGCCGATGAACCGGGATTGCTGGTAATCAAACCGACGAAAGCCACTCAACCGCAACTTCATCAAGAAGATCCTCGGAATAACTTTAACAATTACCACCCCGAAAACATGCAACCGCTTCCACTTGAGGAACCTTCAAAAACTGCCCAGCTGACCAAACTAATTGGACTAGTTACTGGAACATCTGGCCCAATAATCCATCACAACAATAACCACAATGATGATAATAACAATAACAATAATTACGGACCGGAACATAAAGATCAAGATCAACCAACTGCAAATACTAATGTTGTAAATCACCCGCCAAATTATCAAAATGATCAAAGTTCTAGGCCATCGCAGATTTATGGGAATCCCGGGTACTCAGCAGAGCTGGCAACGCAGCAAATTCAATCTCTACTCAATCCGTACTTGAACGTACCAATTAATGCACCGACAACTTTCAAGGAGCAAAGTTATAATTATGCGATGCCTTTGGATTCCAACGTCTATAAGATTCCTATTTTTGGACAGAACAATAACAATAATAATGACATAAATATTGATGCAGTAAGCATGTCTGTAGGGGCAACAGGGTACGCGAACCCTAATTTCGAAATTGTTCCTAGTGTGCAGATTGCGGATTGGTCGAGGTCACTTCTACTTCCTGGTTCCAATGCCAGAGGGCACAAGAAGTATAATACTCGTCGCCATGTTTACGGAAATAATGATAATAGATATTCAAACATAAACAAGCTGAGCCATAAGCGCTCAAAAATTTATTTCATGTTTTGATTCAGGTGGTTTTTTTAGCCTGTGTATATTGTTTTTAATTCGGAAGATACATTTTTTCACACCCGTCGTTCTATTTTTAATTAATTATTTATTGAATAAAATAGTTTTTAATTTTTTTGAGCGGGGTGTGCACTTTTGTGGAATTTAAATCATGAATTTTTTTTTAATTGAAAATTTTTTTTTTATCGTCGAATTAGAAAAAGGTAAAATGGACTAGGTTTTTTTTTTTTGTAATCAAGAAGCCCCGAAGCTAAATTAGGGAGAGTGAGATCATTTTTTTTTCCACGCTACAATTATTTATTGTTTCTACAAAGGCGGAGGAATTTTACTCACACGTGCAGAAAATATTAAGTTTTTTTTTAAGATGCTAAAACTTGAGAAATTTTTTAAAAGAATAGTTTCGAATAAAATACTTTAAATAAATAAAAAATTTAGGGAATGTTATTGTTAAGAAAGAAAGTTATAAATAATTTTCAGATGAAAAATTTTTTTAAGCTTAAATTATCAATCATCATACTAAATATTTATAAAAACGAATATTTGAAATCCATTTTGCCTTTTTTAACTTTATGTAAGTAAAGGCATCAATTTTTGACTCACATTTGCTTCAATTATCGACACTCTTAATGCGCATGTGCTATTTATCTGGTAAAGTCAATTGTTACATGACAAATTCAGAACATGTATAAATTTTTATAATTTTTGCATGTAAAAATAGACCCATAAGTTTTAATTTTTGTTACAAATTATTAAAATTTGTGTAAGCTTTGTACTTACAAAAAAAAAAATTTTTCCTAAAATTTAATGAAGGTTTTTCAAAATTTTGAGTAATAATTATCACATTTAATGAAATTAAAACTAAATAAAATAAAAGAGTTAATAATTGGACCCTAGTCAACAATTGGTGCTTTATCCTCCTAAAATTATAACAATAATTATAAATATAAATAATAATATTATTATCAGAGTAAGAAGATCGAGACAAACTCGGCACTGTAAATATATGTATATTCATATTCTAACCGATTTAATTTTAATTAATTGAATAAAATATAAAAAGTCTGTACTCATTTACCCCAAAGAAAATTTCAACCTCAAAATCAACTTTAGATGCTTTTAAAAAATGTTCCTTTTTTGAATCACGGCCTTGCATTCTCATCAATCAAAAAGTTTAGCAGTTCGATATTTCAAGTTTCAATCCTGTGTGCTGTGCGTGACAGATAATATTATTCTATACCCTTGAACTGAAGTATGAAGGAAAAAATACAAAAAGTTTTTCCGCATCGTATGCAATGGCAGAATTCAATGAAAGTGCGGAAAGGTATCGGATCGTTACTCATGAGCTAACACGATACCTCGCAACTCTATTCTTGACTAGACTAGAAAAAAAAAAAAAAAAAAAAAAAAAAAAAAATGAGAAGAAAAATAATAAAATGCTTTTTAAACTTTCATTTTTTTCCTTGACAATACATTACCGGTGATGAGCAGACCGTATTGTCAAGCGAAAGTATTATAATCATTTCGTCCTGTTTGCTGCTGAAAATTATAAGAACTTCCGTTCTTCATTGTTTTTTGCAAATAAATTATACGTGCTTATGTATGTATAAACATTAAATATAGTACAGAAAATTAATAAGAATAAACTAGTATAGTTAACTGAAGGAAATGTGTCTTGGACAGTCTATTAACTAGTTAAAGAAGCAAATCATTCTTTTTTTTTTTGGTAGGGATTATACTTTTTTCATTTTTAATCTAAATTATAATTATAATCTTATCAAACTTTCATTGTTGTTCGTAATAGGATTATCCACTACAAAGGTTTGTTATCATCTATCATTCTTATATTTTTTTTGTAATTTTAATTTATAATTGATGATTCTTTCTTTAAGGAATTTTTTTTTTTGAAAAATGTAAGCTTATATATTGAAATTCATTAATTCATTTTTTGTATCCAAGAAACTCTAGATCGTGACGTATAATTTGTACTAACAATATTAATTAAAAATTTATGCTTGATCACGACGTTTCATCCAATAATTAACTGTTACATAGAAAAATTTATCTTGACGTAGAAAAAAGGACTTTTTTTTCAAAATTTTAATTTTTAATATTTCTTTAACTATAATTTAAGTTAAGTAATTGAAGTTTTTATCTAAAAAACTTATTAGAAACTTACAGAATTTTTTTTTGAGAAAGTATTAGATGTTTTATCCAATTAAAAAAATTAGCTGAAATTTGAATTAAAAAATTAAAATTTATCGAAGTTTTGTATATACTAAAAAATTATTTTCTTTAGTTAACGTATCGCATCATTGTAATCGTGGAGTACCATCTTGACACTTATATTTATACACGAACTTAATCTATTGTGTCCTTTTACTGATAGCTATATTCTGCGGGTTTGATTAATTATTGTGAAACTCAATTAACTTCATTCGGATATTGTAGAGAGTATAGTTATAATTTGAATAAATTATTGAACTAAAGAAATAGACTACTACAGTAAGATAAAAAAAATTAAAATTAAAACCGACCGAAGATTAGTCGAAATAAATTTTAAAAAAATGATATTGATATTTTTAAAAATTCCTTTCACGATTGTTTTCTTTGAAATGATTCATATTTTGATTTGATCTGTTACAGTTGTGTACTCATACGCATATTACCCAAGAAATCGATATTATCGAACGTATTCGTACTACAAGTACGTAGGATAGACTAAAGCTACAAAGTAAACAAACACGCCAGTAGAAGTGGAACAAAGGGCTGAGAAAATAAAAAACTGATAAAAAATCCGAATCACGATATGTGTGACGCAGAAAACACACACACACACACACACACACATTTCAATAACGTCACTGCGAATAAAAACCGATGCGCCCGACTGCAAACAAATCAACTGAATAGAATATAGACCATTATAGAATAAAGATGTATATTTATATTTAATATTTAAGTATCTAGTTTTATATAACTTCTTAAAGTTTAAATTTACCGATGCCAGTTACATTAATATGTAAAGTCACGAAGGCTATATTTTTTAGCCTACGTGTTCTTTAAATTGTTATCAACAGGCGAACCAAAATTTCTACGTGATTTATTTATTGAAGAAGATCCTGTCATCAGACGATCGCAAAGAATAGCCAACAGAAATAATAATATCACCTTTAAAATACCCAATTTTGTTACTACAACCTACGAGCATTCATTTGTTATGTCAGCTATACGGTTTTGGCAAGATCTACCTCCTGAAATTTCAAATTCTCTTGGTTTAGAATCCTTCAAGACAAGAGTATTCGATTTTCTTATAAATCTTGAATAATAATATAATAGTGAGCTGGTTAATATGATTAAAAAACATTATGTCCATTTGAACATTATGAAAATTTGATGTTTTAAGCTATCATGTAAATTTTTATTTCCATTATGTACATATTAGCGGTACTTATGTGAATTATAATTATAATTTTATGTATATCATTTTTGCCATTCGGCTTTGTGCCTTGGCATCTAAACCTAATAAATAAATAAATAAATAAATAAATAAATAAATAAATAATATCTTGTATTCATACACATTTTATTTATGCTACATTTATCCTGTTCTATTAGTGTACGTCTGTATATACTCATTGCTGTTGCTGTACTTTTTATATTGAATAGAAGTTTATGATTTATGACAGGTAAACATGAAACAGAAAATAAAGCAACAGTTTAATTGAGGAATTTATTAATAAAATTGTTGGGTGTAAACAGTATTAGAAATGACGTAGTTTCCGATTGTAATAGTGATAAATATTTATATCTAATGTAATTTAAATTTATTTAATAAATTAAAAGCATTGACAACAGTAGAAATTCAATTTAAAGTGAGATTATTTTTCAATTGAAGGTATTTTTATTAAGTTTTAATAAACAATTTTTTATCATCAGAATCGAATTTCATTTCAAAGAATTTTTTGAAGCGAAGCAATATTGAAGAATTGTTCTATAAAGATTTTTTTCTTCTTTTATATTGTGAAGTTTCAATAGCTTTACTGTACTGTAGTGCTCTCTCGTGTTAGATCGAGGAACTTCTTATTCTCTGTATTACTATTATTGTTATTACTCGCTTAATAAATTTGTTTTTCTCTCTTATATTAGTTTAAGATTGTTCATTCGTCTCATAAAAAAGTCGAATTTTTATTATCTCTTTCATATTATTACATCAAAAAGAATTATTTTTCTTATGAAAAAAATTATGCAGATATGTTCAATATATATATGTTTATAAAAACATGACCATCTTCAATAAATGTACAGTTATTAACGGGCTTATAATTATTCTTTTGTAAAAAAGAAAATACCGTAAAATAAAAAAAATTTAACGTACCTACATAATAAAAATTTTTAATATTAAAATTAAAAAATTTTTTTGTCTTAAAATAAAATTTTTTTTCACCGAGAAAATTAACTTTTTTAATCACCCATTATGGTTTAAATAAACTTCTATAAAAAAAATATGTCATTTAGTTATTCAAAAAGTATTCAATCATATTGATTTTTAATAATTTTCTATGGCTAATAATAAAGTATCTAAACTAGAGGTATCTCATTTTTTTTTTTTTAATGATCTTTAATTTCAATGAGTAAAAATATTTTTAACTCATATTTATTTGAATAATTTGAAAAAATTAGAATAGCTCTATTTCGAAAAGTATAAACTTAATCTATTGCATTAGAGGGCTTATCAATAATGAATCGGATTTGAATATATTAAAAAAATTGTTATTTTTTTATAAGATTCAATCACAGAGAAGAATTGTATTGATATAATAAAAAAATAATATTCAAAGTTATTATTATTATTTAATAATGAAATATTTTAAATCAATAATAATTAAAATAATAATGAGAGAGTTGCGTAATTTTTTTTTTGTTGAAGATCAGCGATTTTTTCTCACGATAACTAGAAACGTTTGCAAGATGCTCGAGTGAACTTATTAGGTCACTGGATCATTGCACATAATATTTATATATGTATAATATATACAGTAGCGGATTCATCTTAGTCATTTACAAGACACGTGGTAACGAGTTAAATAAATAAATATATATGTATAAGGAGAGAAAGGAGGATAGACTAGTTGTTGGAAGATCGCCGATATATATATATATGTAGACATTAATCGGAAGTAATAGCGTACGTTGATCCCTGGTAAGTTGTAATAAAATTCACCTTGGATTATCCGGGTCGATGAATTTGTCAACGTAAGCAGAGGTAAAATCAAGGCCACCGCAAGTTCATTATCAAGTTCAGTCTTTACTTGGCAATTCGGTTTAAGAAAAGATAAATTGTTTCGCAAGCAAAACTATCATTTTTGGGTTTATTGATTCTGGAAAGTTTAATAAGATAAAGAAAGGTTCTTTTTCAGCAAAAAAATTCTGATCCAGGCGATAAATTTTCTTTTATAACTATAGAACTTAATATCAATAGAGCGGATTTGGTTATTTTATAACTCTCCACTTTTTGATGTAATACTTTTGTAATATCTAATGTGTTTACTGTAATAAACTTTTTCAAACAAAACCTTGAATTTTATTTAGTTTAAAACAGAAATATTTTTTTTATTTTTAAGAATCATATGAATTTATTTCAGGAATTTAAACAAAAAATTCTTCAATAACCAAAGCGAGTAAAAAAAAAAATAATAAATCCAGAACTTCTAATTAATATACACATATGTGAAAGCGAAAATATGTGTGATAATTAATATACATGACCTATAAATCTACTTCAGTACTATATTATTTAATTTATCCATTTTTCTGTTATCTTTGTGACTGAACTTGATAAACACATACAAATAATAATAATTATAAAATAATTTTCAACATTTCATAGATTGATTTTTTTGCAAATTAATCATATAAATAAATTAAGAATGTTTTCACTCATTGAAATTAAAGATCATTTTTTAAAAAATTAAATGGCACCAAGGTAAGAAAACATTATTCGTAACCATAAAACATTATAAAAAATCAATATAATTGAATTTTTTTTTCTTTAAGTTCATAAAAACTATAATGAGTGATGAAAAAAGTTTTTTGAAAGAATTAATTATCTCGGTAAAAAATGAATTTTTTTTTTAAACAAAAAAATTTTCAAATTTTATTATTATAATTATACTTTTTTTTTTCTATTGTTATTATATTGATAAAATTTAATCAAGAATTTATTATTAAAGGGAATATATATTTATAATATAGAAAATAGAATGGAAGGGAAAAGAATGATACATACAATAAGATACACCGGTTCGACTCACGTATAAATGAAGGACAATGACCTAATTGTCTGCAGAACGGCCAGTGCTTCCTAACTGTACGATCACCGGCAATTTAAATCTAATAGTAAATAAACAGTAAATAAATAAGTACTTTGACTTTCGTTGTCCTCTCGAAGGATTCTATTACCAAGGATTAAGTTAATTATAAAATGAGGGTAAGTTTTATGAGTTTAATGAGGGTACTTTCTGAGTGATACTAAAAAGTCAATAATTTCAATAATAATCAATACGTTTGCTGGTTAACATTGTTGTTCTTGTTAAATTAGTGGAGTAATTATATGTACACACTCAAACAATGTCAGCTCAATTGTGTGGACTTAAAAATAATAATAATAATTATTATTATTTTAGAATAATTTATTCGAATAGAAGCTAAAGGTAACGTTACCTCGGAGGCGCGAGTTCGATGATAGGATAATTGTTTGAATTAATTTGCTATTCATGAAATGCAGTAATCTAATGACTGATTGCAATGTTGCAGCGAAGAGCTCCAGTCATTTTTTAAATCCGATAAATTTCAGTTGATGTTACTGGATTCGAGATATTTTATATAAATAGAACATTTCCATTGATTTTGACTCGATATATTTTCAATGTTCATTCCATCGGGAAAATTATTCATTATCGTTTATAATAGGTGCTCATAATAAGAGATGAATTCGAGAAATTGTTGTATTGTTGAACATGAAGACTGGTGAATAATTGATTATTATTTAATAGTAGGGATTAGATTTTAACCGGATAATTAAATATTGAATGAACATTAGAGGTACTTGAATGATAAATAAATTCCTGAAACCAACTTCATAAATTTATTAATATCAAAATTTTATCATCAACTGTGTAATATGGTAAAATATTTATTCCGCAAACCTTTTTAGATTTTGTTGCTAAAAATTTTTGTTGTTTTTTTCACGTTTATTCATTTGTAAAAAGCCGGTGATTCGGGGGTGGTGATTGTGCTTAAGCTGGAGTCAATCAAATATATTTTTTTTGTTTGATAATCAAAATAAAGTTCAAGTACAATTTTACTACTATAAAAACAAAATTATTTAAAGAAGAAAAAAAAATTACAATAACCCTCTATTTTAAAAAACAGTACTTTTTAGTTGCAGTTTTAATTTTTTTAACTAACAAAGTAATTATTGTACCAGTATTCTGTAAAAATAATTTTTTCTTCTCTATTTTATTATGGATACAATTAATTTCTTAATTCACAAATCCTATCTTTATTCCTTTTTCATAAGAACATTTAATTTCTCTATTGCTATAAAAAAAATACGAAATTGATTGAAATCGGTTTTTGATTGCATTTTCATCACCACCACAAAAACTTATAACAAGGTTTTTACCCGTGCTTGTTATATTTCATCGATGTGAACCCTCAATAAATCACTGTTACCCCTCATTGATTCAATTGTTTCTCCACAAATTGCCTCGTTTAATTTTCAATTGATATATCAAGTTGAATAACGTTGTTTTTTTTATATTTACATTTTGTGCTTCAGCAAATATAAAATACCCCGTAATTTATTTTGAATTCTAAAGTTATAAAATTTTAACTTCGAATTTTCATTGAATGAAACAAACTTTTTTTTTAATTTTGAATTGCAATATCATTCAATCGAATCAATTGTTTTTTATGGGGCTTGCAGCATTTGACGCAATTTTTCAAGCACAAAAAGATTATTCATTACCGATTATACGATTAGAAATCAAATTTTGAAATTATGTTGAAAAAAACACTTTTTTGGAATTTTTAAAAATTGAATACCTCACGAACGAATGGATAGATACTGACAAGATTGGCAGCGTTCGACGCAGTTTTTTTGAGTACCAATAATTATTTTATCACATCAAAAATGATTCAAGAAGAAGTTATGTAGAAAATACACATTTTTCAAAATTTTTCGTTGATGATTTCTGTTCAACTCTTTAAGAGTTGATTAGATTTTGGAATCGATCGTTACATCCGTTTAAAAGTTATTCCAAAGAAACATTTTTTTGAAAATGTTATTTTTGAGGTTTCTCAAAATTTACTGGTCCGAACCGGTTTAAATGGTATAGGAAATTCTCTTTTATGATTAATAACAAATTAACGCCTGTAAAAATTGTAGTAAGACCTAAAAACTTTCTCACTCGTACTTAACACTGTAAATAAAGCAAAACACGCAAGTCACGAAGAAAGCTGCCATTAGACTAACAAATTAAAAATATATGTGATGTAAATTATTACTAGTACACAATAAAAAAAAAAATTACAATAATTAGATTTCTAAAATTGTGCTCAATAAAATAAAAAATATTATTTTCTCCCACAATAAAAAAAAAATTTTGTTTGTCATTAAAAATAATTACCCGAGAAGTATAATAAATTTTTTATTGCAAGCAATTTATCGGCGGTAGCTTTAGACGATCGAGAGATAAAAATATTTTTCTCGATTCTTTAAACAATTTTCCGAGTATTTTATTTTGTTTTCAATTACTCGGAGCTAAATTACCGGTAAACTCTCGCTCATCTCTGTATTATGGCTATACTATGTTCTATCTTCGTTTATCAGCAGAATGTTTGTGTCTTCGTCGTGTTAAACGAGTGACAGAATTTCTCATTTGGTATTTACTGAGACTATGTTGATGTGTAGGATAAAAATATCGAGGAAAATAAAGTAAAACTGAGGTATGTAATACGGTAGTACGCTTTTCCCATCGCGTCGATGTAGCACGATGTTCCACTTTAATCCGATCGTACAACTCTTGTAATCACATCATCTGTACGTGTTTAAATTTTTTCACTTGTTATATCTAAAAGAATTTTACATTAATCAAATCCTATTTTTAGTAACTATTTTTCAATCGAATCGCGAAATTTGGAAAAGGGACTTATTAAAGTAAAGATCTTTCCAATTACACTTATGAGTTTTATAAATGTTGAATTAAGTCATTTTTGTTTTTTAGACTCTCAATTGGCTACCATGGCTCTTGGCGATTCTATTTTGTGTAACAGAAGCGCGATACAAAGTGCGCAGACCTTTACCACCACCACCACCAACGCCTCAGATCTACAAAAAGTCGTGGCCGATTGGTCATCGCGTTTCAATGGGAAACACTATTCAGATAAACAAAAACAACAACTACGGACCTTTGAAGCGACCTCACTTCAACAGCAAGCCCAACAACTTCAGGCTAAGGAGACCCATAGTCCTGGCGCCTCCAGCTGTCTGGAAAAATCCGGTTCCAGTTTTGAATGCGGTACCGAACATCCCAATACCACAGCGGATGCCGGTCAAGGAGTTTCCTGTGGTTACCAAGCCAGAATACAGCCCGGAGTATCGACCAGAAGCCGTAGTTGTTCCATCGACCCATCGCGGAGGATTTGACGATGATCGTGGACCAATTCACACGATTCCAGCGCCAAACTTGAGTATCGCTGATAAACCTTACAATCCTGAGGAGAACAGACCTGATCATCATGAAGATTACCAACGATTCCAGTCTGACTCAGAGTATCATCATCCGTCAGGTATTTGTCAAATTTTACCCTGATAAACAAATTTATATACTTCATCAACAGTTGATAAATTAATTTCTTTAGAAATAATTCATTAATTTATTAAGTATAAGCATTAACCATGATAAAAAATTGCAGGTGATCAAGAATCCTACCAAGTCAGGAGCCAGACGGTAAAACAGCGACCAGTAACCAGTACCAGCTCACAACACACCTATGAAGTTACAGAAGCGAACGAGATTCAAAATCATCCTCCAGAATACGCTACTCCTGCTACGCAGTTCTACACAGCGGATTTTGAATCTTCTCGGTTCCCTACTGGGCCAAACGTGGAACCGGCTGCAAACGACATCTACTTGAACCACCCGATCTCACGTTCCGGGCCGAACAATGTTCCGCAGTCTTACAGCCAGTCTAACATTCCCATTCAAACAAACATTCCCGTTGTGCAAACTAACCTTCCAATGCAAACAAACCTGCACAGTTCCTTGCACGTTGGCTTCCCTGCTACCGCTCAAGTGACTTTGCCCGCTGAGTACCATCTGAACAATCCTGATATAATTTCGCAAGATGTTCAGCAACAACAACAACAACAGTTGCAGGAACAGGAACAGTCTGATTTGCATATTGGGCATCCAGGAGTCGCTGGTCCACCGATTTCTGCTGATAAGCTTTATGAATTGTTCAACAGTTTTCCGCAACAACAACAACAACAACAACAACAACAACAACAACAACAACAACAACAAGATCAACAGTATTTGGCTATACAACAACATCACCAACAGCAACAACAACAAAATTCGCAAAGAAACGTTTATCCAGAAATAAATCAATCAACATTTTCACCACCAAAAATGCAATCTTTCAATTATAATGAACAAGATACACAACAGCAACAATTGCAACAACAGCAGCAATTGCAACAACAACAATTACAGCAACAACAACAGCAACAACAACAGCAATTACAACAACAACAGCAACAGCAACAAGAACAATTACAACAACAACATCAGTTCGAACAAAATTACGAATCAAGTGTTGCAGATTATAATTTACAACAGCAAGAACAATATCAAAAACAACAAAAAATCCAACAGCAACAGCAACAACAACAACAACAACAACAACAACAACAACAACAACAACAACATGAACAAGAAATTCAAAAACAACAGGAACAAATAAACAACGTACGGTTCCAAGAACCAATAGAACCAGAGAACAACATCGATTTTGAGGAAGCGGCAAGTGCTAATGTTAATCAAATGAACCCGCATTATTTTAACAATGAAGAAATCGCGCAATACTATACAACGCTGCCAAATAGAGAAACCGCGGAAAAATTGGCGGCTTTGGCAGCGGCGGGAAGTGTAAATAGTCGGTTGATTTCGCAGTTACAGCAAAGACAGCAACAAAAAGAACAGGAAGAACAGAAATCTTTGGTAAAGTTTGGTGATGAACAAAGTGACCAGCCAATGCCAAACAATCACAGAGGAAATTATCAAGTGAGCGAGCAGATAGATGATGTACCTTTTGAAACTGATAAGCAGCAGAGGCAGATGGTAAGGCAGAGAGCTGGGGCGCAGAAAAGGTACCGGCAACATTATCGGCAACAACAAATTCTACGTGAGCAGGTTTGTTGAAATTGAATCTTTTTTTTTTAATTATGAAAAATTAAGTTATCTTAATAGTTTGTTGATATTTTATTTATCTTAATTTTGTTTTGTTGTTATAGGAAGAAGCAGATAAACATTTTGAAAGACAAGCGCTTCTGGAACAGCAGAAGAAAAAAGAAGACGAAAATCAAGAAAACAAATCAAGACCTTTAAGAATCATGATTCCCGATGCCCAGAAAGAAAATAATGATAATAATAGTAATGATAACAAAAACAATAATGATGATGAAGATGATACTGATGAGTACGAATATGAAATAAGTGAGCCAATAAATTCAGACAAAACAATTCCAGCGCCAGAAGACGACATTAATTTTGAAAATCCAAGTAGTGAATTTGGCTCGCGTATTAGAAATAAATCATGAAGAGAAGAAATGACTAATTTACATATTTATTATTAATAAAAATAGTAATGTTTTTTTAAATGAATTCGCTGGAGGGGTGCTTTGTAAATATGCTTTATATTTGGGGCATTCCATGCCAAATCGACCACTTTTGACACCGACCCTTTTCGATTTTTCTGAAATTTTGGTATCTTTCTCTACCCTATTGAAAATAATTTTCAGAATTTTTTCAAATTTTTTTACCCAACCAAAAAAAAGTTACAAGTTATTACAAAAAAACAGCTTTTTTTTTGTTAAATAACCATAACTTTTTTAAAAATTGACTTTTTGGGATGTTTTTTTATTTGAAATTTTTGTCTTTAAATGTACTTTAAAAAAAAAAAAATAAAAATAATAATTCAGATTCATATTCAATGTTTTTTTTAACTTTTTGGAAAAAAAAACGAAAATTTCGGGATGATTGACATTTTTGATTTTCAATTTTTCTTTTTTATAAAAAACTTCAGTATTTTTTGCAAATTCCCTAAAATTTTCAAAGTGGTAAACTTTTTCTTTCTATTTTTTTTCAGAGTGGTATAACGAAAAACAAACATTTAAAAAAAAATTTTTTTTTCATTAAAAAAAAAAATAGAAAGAAAAATTTAACCACTCTGAAAATTTCAGGGAATTTACAAAAAATATTGAAGTTTTTTTAAAGAGTTTATTTATTTATTAATTAAATTGTTAATATTTATTTATAATTGCATTTGTAGTCGATTATAAACATTGAAAAAAATCTTTAACGTGGTAAAAAAAATCATTTGGGAAGGCACAAATCGTTATTGTGGGAAATTATTATAATTTTTATGAAAAATGCCAGGCAGAAAGCAATTTTAAATATTTTTTTTTAATCAATAAACAACACATGGTCGGGGTGATTAACTTCGAGACTGCCTTGTCTATTTTTTCAATTGATCCATGAACCACGGACGGCCATCGGTTGTGCGACGCTTCGTTAAAATGTCACAGCCAGACTCGGTGACAAGAAGAGTCTGCTCAAATTGGGCTGACCACTGTCCATCGGCCGTCACGGCGGTCCAATGGTCCGGCCACATTTCATCACGCCAAGTGCCCTGGGATATCATCGGCTCGATCGTGAAACAATGACCCGCTTTCATGACACCCACTGCTTTATTTTCTGGTTTAATAATCAATTGTCAATATTTTTAGTAGAACAAAATAATTTGGGTTACTTTTTAGACATTGATAAATTTTGTTAAAGTAACAAATTAAAAACGCCTTTTTTATGAAGAATTTATAGGCACTTAGAAGACCCAAGAATTTTTTTTTAAATAAATTTTTCAATCCATTAATATGAAAATTTATATACATTAGTACTGACTTTTAACTTTAACAGTAAAAGTGACAATGCGAATTTTTTAAAATAATTATTGCAAAACAAACGCGCCACTGTTATCATTTAAGTTCTGTAAAAAAATCTTTTTTTTGTTAATATAATTCTTCTGATAAAAATTTTTTACTCAATCGTGCAGCTTGCCAATAATACACTGACAAGAAATAGTAATTTTTAAAACAAGTTTTTTTTTTTTTACTGTGTATGCTTATGAATACAGAATGTTTTTATATATGTAATGAAATATGTATCCATAAAAAAAAAAAAAAATAAAATTTCTAAAACAATAAATTCTTTAAGACTTCCAAGTGCGTATAACCTCTTAAAAAATGCATACTCACTAGCATAATGAGGAACACTGGGAGCAGTATGGAACAATCGATGTATTCCATGACCACAATAACTACGCACGACACTGAAACCATGAGCCTGTGCGTGCTTTTGGATAATGTTACCAATTTCTTTGTATTTTTCTCCCGGCTTAACAATCTCAATAGCTTTTGCTAAGCACTCGTAAGTTACTTCAACCAGTTTTTTAATTTCGGGCTTAACATTGCCGACTAAAAAGGTCTCGTTGAGATCTCCGTGAAAGCCGTTGTGATACACCGTGACATCGACTGTGTAAACAATTATCATATATCAATGATAGTGAACAATCAGCGAGACAATAGAATAGATTAATAACTTGAATCAATATGCGATTACCATTACAAATGTCGCCATCCTGTAGCGGCCTAGTGTCGGGAATTCCATGACAAATCACCTCGTTAACAGATGTACAACAACTAGCTGGAAATTGATGATAGTTGAGCGGTGAAGGGTAGCAGTCTCTCTCGATACAAGCTTCATAGACAACCCGGTCTATTTCCGCGGTTGTAACTCCGACATCGCAAACTTTGGCAGCTTCGTCGAGGACCTCACGGCCCAGTTTGCAGGCGACTCGCATCCCCTCGATCTCCTCATCATCTAGGATTTTTATTTGAGAAGATCCCCTGACTGCTTGCTCACTTATCGGAATACCCTTTGGGTGGTCCGCATAATCTGGTCGCGTTATTTTGGGAGTTTCTGGCACTTGTCGCTTTGGATGTGTCGGGTACGGACGCAATTTACCCGTGAAATGGTATGATGGCCATGGATTGTACTCATCGGATGATGATTTTTTAGTATCACCTTCTAAAAATTTATTTTTTCTCGTTATTAAGTTGATGCGTTATTATTTCCGACTTTAGAGAAATTTAGATTTACTAGTTCATTGAATTTATTCTTACCAGATTGAAGAATAAATATTTTAATAGAAATTTTATTCGAATTTTTTGAAATGCTTGAATTATTAAAGAGTCGCGTTTTTTTTTTTTTTTTTTTTATAAATAATCAATTGAGAATAAAAAAAAATTTGCAATGTTGTTTTTTTTTGCACTAAAAAAAAAAATTATCTTGATTCTAGAGAAAAATTCTCAAATGAAGAAAATAATTTTGAAGAGCTTTGTATTAACTTAAGGAGATTCAATAAAATAATTATTAACATTTAATTGACTAATAAAAAATATAGCACTCTGAATTACCAATATACACTTGACAACACCGCAAGAGTTGATCTAAGACATTTCTTACTTTACTGCCCTTGGCATGTAATATACTATTCTTCGTTTAAGATTTTTCTCTTGACTCAAGTAAAATTTGTTTCATCAGTGTGCATATAAAAAAGGATTATTTAGTGGATGAAGTTATAAAATGAATTGCTTTTTGAAAGATAATAACTTATTTCAAATTGTCTAATTATTGTTTTATTTTTTGAAAATTTTATTTCTTTTTTGCCTAACAGATGATCGAGTTACCAACCCTAAGTTTTCCACTGTGATTGATACCGAAAGACTCAGTTGGTAATTCGATCAACTGTTAGGCAAAAAAATAAAAATTGTATTTGACTAGATTATTCCTTTTTATATGTAATGAAAGCACCAGTGTACAATTTTTTGTGTTCCAAAAAAGTGAAAAATTGAAATTTCGAAAAACCCTCCCAGTGTTACCTGGGGAAAACTATAATCTAACGAATGAACTATCATTTTTTTATTTCAGATGATCCAGCACCAAGTTATGAAGGGCACCGCAATAATACTTTTTTTTTTCCGAGACACGTCCGAGTAATTGCTGCTATTGCCGTATTTTTTAACATTTCTTCGTGAAAATTTTATATAATATTCTTCGAATGTCATATTTTACTGTACCATTAGTTTTAATGAAGAGATTTTAACTGCGTTGTCACAAAAAAATCACAAAAAAACATGTCTTTTTTTTTTAAATACTATCATATTTATATTCGCAGATATTTTTAAATTGTAATGAAATTCATTCAAATAAATATTACTTTGTCCCAAGAAGTCAATACGATAATTTGTCACTAAAAAAATGACAATGATAAAATGAAAATAGAAAAAAAGAATAAAAATTTTTAAGTCATAAAAATAAAATATGTAAAAATGATCTGAATTCACAAATTATCATCTTCATTTTTCTAAACTTGCAAAAAAAAATAACTTTTTATAACAATCAATATTCATTAAATAGAACTTACTGGCAATTTCATGAATGACTTTATGAATTTTCCAACTTCCTTTGAAGCAATCCTATTAAAAAAAAAAAAATAATTATCTTCATAATCGCTATTAAAATTGATTTGATTATTAATTAAAAACTCTTGCAAGTTAAAATATCAGAGCAGCTTATAAAATTTATAAATAGATGTGATATAATTAACCTAAAAGAGTTATCTATTTTTCGAATTTACCTGACTACAAAAGTATGATCCCTGGATGCCAATTTTCAGGCAAGTTGGACACTGAAGACTAGCCACCGACTTACATCCTGGAGTTTCGCACATTCCCAGCGCGAAAGACATTGTTAGTTTTAGTTATTAATATTTATTATTTATAAATAAATACCCGACTTTATAAATAAAGGGCTGGCAATAGTCACGGTGAACGCACACTTAGATAGCCGTGTGCGTATGGCTATCTTACCATCCCAAATTAAACGAGGCATCAGCATTCCTATCACTCAGTACTAGATTCTGCCCATAGATGACGTATGACTTGATTTCTTGCGTATTTAAAGAGATTTTTTTTAATAATTTAATGCACTTGTAAGCAGAGTTCTTCTCAGTAAGTTTTTTTTTATTGATAATTTTTCAAATTTAAAGAAGTTAATTGAATAATTAATTTACTAAATTTATTTTTTAATTATATTATAGTTAATTAATTTGATAATTATGTTTTAATTAAATTAAATTGTAAACTTTGAAATAACACTGAAGTTGACTAACATTAGAAATTTTTTTATAATTCTAACATTGATCATTTAGTGAAAAAAATTTAATAAAAAATTTCTATATGTGAAAATTAAATAAAATTATTAGGGTAAATTTTTTAAAGCTTTTTTTTTAATGTAATTCATTTGTTGTAAAAATTAAAAAAATTGACAGTTGTCAACAAACTTCAGTATTATAACGTTAAATACATTTTTCGAATTTTTGAATCATCTTCAAATTTGAAGTCATTAATATTTAATAATTGGAAAAGTTTTATGTCTAAAAATTTGTGGTCGAACCGGTGATAAAAAAAAAAAGATATTTGATTTTCATTCAAGAATTCATACTATTCAAATTTTTTTTATATGAACAAAGAAATAAGATGCATCAAAAACTGAAAGTGAAGCATAAATATAAAAAAAGTTATTACAATTTTGTTATTATTTCTGTAATTTAATATAAATAATAATTTTTTTTTCAGAAAAAATTAACCAATCATGCAGTTATTTTATCTTCTAACATTACTGATTTTTTATCTTACTATTGTTTCAACTGTGGATATAAAAAAAAAAGTAACATACAATACACCCGGCGTCACTGATCGATTGTTAATTTTTCCAGGTAATAATTTTATCATTTTTAGTTTAATAAGCGATAGAAGACTCAAAATTTATATGACAAAGTTTGTGAGTTTCTGACACGTGTGTTGATAAAGAATTTTGTTTTATAACGTCCTATTCAAAATAAAAATTTTTCTAAATTAATACTTATTATCTAGTTATGCAAAATCTTTCTTATAATTTATTTTTTTGATTTTTAGGAACAAAATGGTGTGGTCCTGGTAATGTAGCACAAGACAATTATGATTTAGGATCTGATAGAAATGTGGACACGTGCTGCAGGGATCATGATTTATGTGAGCCAAAAATTCGAAGTGGGGAAACGAAATATGGAATTGTAAATCACGGAAGCACATCAATGTAACTTTAAATGCTCATTATTATTATTTTTCACAATTTATTCAAAAGCTTGTTTTCCTTTAGTGATAAAAATAAAAATTATTTTTTATATTGTGTAGATTAAGTTGCACGTGTGATGAGGTCTTCTCCAATTGTCTGAAGGCTGTTAATTCATGGACAAGTCAAATCATTGAAAATATATACTTCAGATTGTTGGGTCGTAAATGCTTCCATTACAATACTGAAAAATAATGAAAATTCCATGTTACAATTTTTTAATTTTTCTTTGTTTTGATAAATAAAAAAATGTCAACTCGAATCGTTTGAAGAAATAAATAAAATTTTATTCACTAATCCCATGATTGTAATTTTATCTACTAGATATTCTCACGTTTTATGAAAATTGAAAAAAATCTTTTTTTTTTTAACTACATAATGTTATAAAAACTATCTTGTCAATCCCGGAAAAGAGAGAGATAAGACCAGAATTTATTATTTTAAATCGAGTTAAAATATATAATAAATAGATGGTGCTGTATCAATTTTCTCAACTATTTAATAATTTTACCTCGTGAATTTTCATCAGAACAAATTTAAAATCCTTCGCTTTGCAACAGTGAAATTTTTATGATTTCAAAGAAGTAAGTAGCGCAAATCATTAGCATAATTTTTTTAATTACTCAACAGTTGAATATAAAATTAAATTGACGTATAAAACACAATTTTAATTAATGGAAAAAATTAAAGCTCAATTATAATTTTACAGATTGAAATTTAATAGAGTTAAACGCCCAAAAAAAAAAGCTTAAAAAATTTCAAATTAGAAAATCGAGCAACTTGAAATCAAATTTTTATAAAATAAAATTTCATGCATCAATTTTTATAATTTAAAAATTTTATTTAAAATCTCCAATTTTTCCATTTTTTTTTTTTTTTTTTTTTTTTTTTTTTATTATTCTTTCCAGTGTTTTATTAAAAATTTATGAAACCTGAATTATCTATCTTTCAGAAACAAAAAAATGCAGATATTTGTTCCAATCTTCGTATGCTTTTGCCTATCCTTTGTTTCGACTTCAAGCAGAAGCGATTTTTATAAAAAAAATGCTTTTGTTTCTGATAAAATTAAAAAAAATAATGCATCATTAAGACTTCAACGATCAATTTTTAAAAGACTAGAAATATTTCCAGGTAAATATCAACTCATCGAATAAAATCTTAAAAATCTTATTTTCTAATTTGTATAAAAGTTGACACTAACTATTAATATTTCACTTAAATAAAAATTGAACTACTAACTATCAATAAGAACTACCAATAAAAAAAAAAAAATTATGAAGAACTTGTTTTTAATTTTTGATATCTCTCAGGAACAAAATGGTGTGGTCCAGGTGACATCGCGTCGCATATTTATGACCTGGGACGATTTAACGACACAGATAAATGCTGCCGAAATCACGATTTGTGCCAGCCTATTATCCTGTCAAAACAAACGAGATACGGAATAGAAAACAAAGGACGCATTGCTATGTAGGGCAACATTTTTCTTAGATAAATTTTCAATACTTAGAATTTTCAACTGAACAATTATTAAAGGTAATTGGTGATTAATTAGTAATTACTATTTTTTGTCATATTAGGTTGAGTTGTTCTTGTGACTCGGCCTTTTACAAGTGTCTCAAAGCAGTAAACTCAACAGTGAGTCGCATTATCGGAAACAGTTACTTTAATTTACTGCACCGCAAGTGCTTCTACTTTGACGCAAAAAAAGAAACTCTCGAATGGATGAAAGTTCCCGATTTTTCAGACAACTCGATCATCAAATTCGTCTCTAAATTCACTAGGAACCCTTTCAAGAAAAACTAAAACGTGCAAATTATTTTTTTCAATGTCGATAATTATGAATAAAAATAAATTAAATTTTAAAAATAATTAATTTATTTAAAAAAAATTTTAATCCAAGAGCCCAATTAAGGAAGAAAAAAAATTTTTCAGTTCTACCTTATCATAAATTATAGTTAAAAATTACACCAACGGATGGAGCTAAGTGTAGACTTTCCTTTCAATAGAAGAGAGCGCGATTATTGTGACTTATTTACATTTCAATTTTATTCGAGAGTGTATAATTATTTATTTAACTAAATTAATATCTAGTAAGTACTAAAATTAGTTGTCACCGCAAAAATTATCAATAAATAATTTTTTTATCCTAATTTCGCGTTCTATAAAATTATATCGCTTAGCTTCTTCATGAAAACACACGAAAGATTCTCTGTAATGTCACACAGTAATCAATAACTTCGCTGCAGTATGCAATTGCTGCATAGAGATAAAAATCTCGAAGTGTTCGAACAATTTTATTTATTTTAATACATTGGATAATTATTTAATTTATATTTTAGTTGTAATTGATGTTTAAATTTTAAAATAAACCTCAATCATCATGAATTTTAAAGAAAGGAAATAATTTCCTGGTGAGATAAAAAAAAAAATCTTAACGTTGATTTTTAACAGAAACCATGAGGAAATTACCTTTTATCTTCTTAATTATTTATCTGGCATCCGTTCAATCGGAAACTTATTTTCCAACTTCCGACCTTGAACTTGATGATGTTCCGCGAAAGAATGGAACTAAAACATGGGGAACTATTTTTCCAGGTAAGTTTTTTTTTTTAATTATTATTGTAGTCATTGTTATTGTAATTGAAAGAAATTTTTTAGTAAAAAATCAATTGCTCGGTTAGTTTATTTTAAAATAGTTGAGAGAAGAAATATTTATTGAATTTTTTTTTGTTTTAGGAACAAAATGGTGCGGCCAGGGAAATAAAGCGATGCATGAAGACGACTTTGGTAAATATCGGCGAACTGATATGTGCTGCAGAAATCACGACCGCTGTCCGAAGAAGATTAAAGCTGGGATGTATAAATATGGGCTTCAAAATTCTGGATCCACAACTTTGTAATTAAAATTTTAATTTACTTTTTTTATTAATTAATTAAGTCTGGCTTTATTTATTAATTAGTTCAAGGTATTTTTGTTCGTTGTTAATTATTAGTCATTATTTGCTTCCTTATTATGTGGATGGTTATTAATTTTTCCGTTATGTTATTTTGTCATTACTCGTTATGCATTATGATAAAATTACACGGGATTCACGTGAGTTGTCTACGAGATTAAACAAAATTTTGTTCAAATTTAGAAATAAATTGCATTCTAAATACAGTAGCGGTAAAAACATTATTTTTACAAAATACTGGTACAATAATTTCTTTGTTAATTAAAAAAATTAAAACTGTAACTAAAAAGTACTGTTTTTTAAAATAGAGGTTTACTGTAATTTTTTTTCTTCTTTAAATAATTTTGTTTTTATAGTAGTAAAATTGTACTTGAACTTTATTTTAATTATCAAAAAAAAAAAAATATTTGATTGAGTGAAAATTAATTTATAGAGAAATTACATAATTTTTATAGCCAGCGATTATTTTTTAGAGCGATTTTTTTGCATTGTTGTGGTCAAAGATTAATCATACCGATTAAAATAATAATTCCGGCATTACACTCGTTAGCGCTCGCTCCAGCTTAAGCACAATCACTACCCCCGAATCACCGGCTTTTTACAAACAAATAAACGTGAAAAAAACAACAAAAATTTTTAGCAACAAAATCCAAAAAGGTATTTTTTAATTATTTAAACAGTACCTGGCCTTCGATTAACATTTTATTTAAACAAACTAATAAAAAACTAGACGAAATTTTGGTCAACTCTCGAGTCAAATCGATCACAAGTTAACCCATGCTCTTCTCTTCTATTTTCCCCCTGATATAAATCTAACGCCTATGTTTTATGTCATTCACGGGTTTATTCACGAGAAAAAAAATTGATGTGCCAGCTGTTACTTAATAATTAATTAATTAATTATTTTCAGATTGAGCTGCAAGTGTGACGAACTTTTCTACGACTGCCTGAAAGAAGTGCAATCAATAACCAGCCAAACCGTCGGTATTTTATATTTCGACATTCTGAAACGCAAGTGTTTTGCGTACGACACCGAGCAAGACAACGGGCTCTACAAGTGGCGAACCAACAGAAAATTTTCCGATAACGGGTTCATAAAATTCGTATCAGGAATCATTTAATTATCCCCACCCACTATCCAATAATTAATGTAATTAACCATTGTTATCATTATCAATTTTCAACAAAGTTAATAACAGCTTTAATTACGATAAATATATTTTTAGACTACCCTTATCTGTTGTAATTACACCCGATCATTATAGACTCCATACTAAATAAATAATTATTGTAACAATTATTTTGATAGCATTTATTATTTTTTTTATCTGCTTTCAATTAATGCCACATTCAATTAATGTTAACATTCTCTTCCGCACAATAGCAGTTGTATGTACTGATTTATCATCATATACTGACGTACAGTAGCAGCCGAGCGGCCAATGTATAAAAATGATTAAATCCACTAATTGAATTTGTAATTTAGACCTTCGGACCTATTAACAAACTCACGTGAGCCGGTGGTTCTTAATTGCAGCCGAAATAACAACGGTAGTTAGTTCTACGCAGGTAGTCATTGACGAAAGGTAAACACGCAACTAAATACTCAAACTCAGTACGTTTATTTTTTTTCACATAGTGTAAAATAGACATAAGTGCGATTTGGGTTTTTTTCGTTATTGAAATATGATTAAATCAGTGACATTCGCAATATTTGTGGTAATTATAGTCTTTGTAATTAGCAAATTTACTTACGGACAGTTTGAAGATTATCAAGTGGATTTGGACGAAGCCTGGTTCACGGAAGATTTATACCATGATCCTTACTTTAATAACTTGAGCCAAACGAAGAACTATGGATTTATTGCACCAGGTATTTTTTTTTTCGAAAAATAAAAAAAAAACAATAATGATTATGAAAATGAAGTTAGCTGACAATTCAAAATTTTTATGAATTTTTTATTGGAAAAATTTCAATTAAACAATTAAAAAAAAAAAAATATCATATGTTAAAAACTTAAAAAACTATAAGTGCAATTTCTTATAAATATCTTTTTAGTTGTAATTTAATTAAAAAAAAAAAAAAATCAAAAATTTTTAGACGTCTGCTAACTTCAGTGTCATTAATGATTTTACAATTTTTTCATCCAATATTTTGCTCAAAATTTGATGTATCAATTTTTAGTTTTAAGTATATGAATTACATTATAAAGTAATAATTTGCAAAGTGATTAATTTAATCCTTTCGGAGTGAAATTCACTCTATAAAATATAATTAATATTTAAAACTTAAATTTGAGATAAATTGTTTTAAGTATGCTTCAAATATATTTATTAATAATTTGGAATATGACACTTTTTTTTAACTAAATAAAAATTTTAGTATAAAAACTCTGTACTCGGATAATTTGTAAATTAAAATCTATAATAACTCTGAAATTCCCATTTTTTTACAGTGTAAGAGTTAAGTTAAAACGATAATAAACATAAATGAATAATTTTTCAAATTGAGCAATCATTAATAAAATTATTTCACTAAAGTTAATTCATACATTGAAAAAAAATTAACTTGAATGAAGAGAAAAATTTTTGAACCCAGAGAAAATCATTTTTAAAAGTTTCATTGTCTTGAATTGAGACGAAAAATTCTTAAGTCAAGTAAAATTTCCTAAAACAAGAAGATGAAGTTCTTCAAAATGATTTACTTAATCCAAATAAATTTTTTTTTCTCTGTAGGAACCAAATGGTGTGGTCAAGGTGACAAGGCTCAAAGTTACGATGATTTAGGAAAATTCAATGATACGGACATATGTTGTCGTGCGCACGATAATTGTCCAGTGATTATAAAAGTCAGTGAAACATGCCATGGCTTAACTAATCCAGATGCTTCTTCAAGGTTACTCATTACTTATTAATCATAAATCATAACCGAGTGTTTAAGTAATCTTCTTCTTAATAAAGTTTTCTCGGACGTGAATAATTTGCATTTGTAATTCTTTAAAATTTTCGCTCTAGTGGGTAATAATGGCAGTTAATCAATATCAAAAAATTTTACTTAAGTTAAAATGAATTCATCTCATGCCTTCCCTTTTTTCCGTGTTATTAAAACCTTTTCTCACAAATTATTTTATTAAAAATAAACAATGTAATTATTAACTTCCAGATTAAGTTGTGATTGCGACAGAGATTTCTACAAATGCCTGAAAAACAACCGCAACATCGTAAGCAAAACAATTGGGACAATCTACTTCGACTTGCTGAAGAAAAAGTGTCTTGACTGCATCGCCGGAGACTACCATTGGGCGGAAAACGAGGCTTACTCCGAAGCCAAGTTCATTCTGTTTATCCGAAATTTGCTGAACTGAATAGAAGGCCACAGACTTCCAAGTTAGTCCTGAAAAAAAAAAAAAAATAAATAAATAAATAAATAAAATTAAGCATTAACATCCAATTAAAGCGAGGAGAGCGCTAGTTGAACCAGGAGCACGATGTGTGACGACTTAATTACCCTTGCCGATACAGACGATGAAACAGTGCAGTATGAGAAAACACGTGTGTTCTTTATCGAGTTTATCTCCCGTCCTTTTTTACTCTTTTTGTCCATCTTTTCGCTTATTATTCCGTTTTTTTATTAATTCATTTCATTTATTTTACTCTCGCTCCCGCTTGATTTTTTTACTTTATCCACCTCCATATATTATTGCTGTATGTTTTACCTCCTGCAATTACACCATCGGTAACCGTTTGTATATAAAACGCAAATTTTAAAATCCAAGGAATTAATTTAAAGCCTGAATTATACATTTGCAATGTTTATTCTCAATGGATTCATTTTTGCATTTAAATGCAACTGAGACAATTGTTTTTGTTTTTTTTTTTTTAATTTATTACGTTTTTATGGATAAAGTTAAAAAAATGTAAGTAATTGATTACAGTAATAAATATTTTTAGATACATTGGAAATATTATAAATAATTCTTAATAAACTAAAAGTGGAATTGAAAATATAAGTTTATTTATTTTATTTGGATGTATCCCCCGCATGGAAAAATATATATGCGAAAAATATATGCAAATATATATTTTCACATATATTTTTTTTGCGCTAAATATATGTCCGCATATATGTGAACATATATGCATAGATATATGTTCACATATATGTGCGCATATAAGTGTCTAGAGATACACAGAAAAGAATTTAACTTGAGTCAAGGAAATAATTTTGAAAAATTTAACTTTCTCGATTTGAGTAAAAAAATTTTCAAACTTGGAAATTTTTTTTTCAGTGTATGCTTACATATATGTCTCCATATATGTCTACATATATGTCAGAATCTATGTGAAAAATATATGTTGACATATTTTTTTTTTGCGTAAATATATGCGGCATATATATTATATATGCGACATATATTTTTGACATATATATTTCTCCATGCGGGTCAGTTTTGTATGGACAAATAAAATTTTTTTTTATCGACTAGATTTTTTTTCACAAAATAAAAATAGTTTTTTTCGTAAGTAAAATACGCGTGTTGGAGTTTTTTATGGGAACAAAGAGAAATGCTTGGAAATTTTTTTTAGTGCTCGAATTCTGTAAAAAAAAAAAACGATTTCAAATAAAATTTTGTGGTAAGTATGGTTCAAAATACTTCACAACACATGCAATTTTTTTGACTGAAGAAAGACATGAATGTTAGAATAAAGGGAGCTGGAATGTTGACAGTTAGTTTCAATTTTATGTGTTTACATATGGAGTTTTGCATGAAAAGTTTCGGTAAATATTTGATGCTTGTATTTACAGTTGATAGAGAAGTAAAAAGCAAAGTAATACTGATATATAATATCAAATACATACGTTAAAATAATATAAACTTGATTGAAGAAAAAAAAATTTGAACCAAGAAAATCGTTTTGAAGACTTCAGCGTCTCGAAAGAGCGCATTTAAGTTTTTTTTTTTTTTGGAAAAATCAATTTTTGGAATTAATTAAAATTGAAACAAATAAATTTACTTTTTTAATTTATCTTTTGTTCCAGCTTAACTTCATCCTCGTGTAATTAATACAGAATGCAACAATACGAACAAGGTTTCCGGTGTAGTTAAACATTCGTATCAACCCTTCAATGTTGAAATCGAGGGAATACTGTACATAAGGGTGATCACCATGACATACGATATTCAATTCACTAACAATGAGAATCAGTACAACTCAGTCAGTACTTATTTATTTACTATCCAGGGTATGTTTTAATTGTCAGTAATTTCCTTTCTTGTATTACCGAATTCAAATATTTAAACCGCAAATATGTATACTAGTACCGAACACGGGTAAACAGGTGTTTAAATGGATATATTGCAAACTGGCATCATCATTAATATAATTTGTATACACGGTGTACATATTTTAGTATAAATTTTTCAAGTATACGTGCCCTAAATGGAATATTCATTAGATTCATTTGCGGAGAAAAAATTACCATCGACATGAAAATGCCGAGATCATGCTCAAGTTTATCTTTTTTTAATTGGGTGTGGCTTCATTAAAAAATAAAATTAAACCGAGATTAATATCGTATGGAAAAAGGTAAATTGCCTCGGTCTACATGTCACTAGATATTTTGAATATTTCCAATTAACTTTTCTTGAATCTCGATTATTTAAATATTCATAAGTCCAACATTTCATCTTTGTAAAATTTATTTTTTATTACTTTATACATTATTATTATGTTTTACGAGCGATACAGGATTTGTGCCTTTAACTTAATAAAAGTTCTGCAATTAATAAAAATAAATTGATAATTTCTATGAAACTAAGTGCTCCTTTATTTTATAAAATTTTCATAAAGAATCAAAAATACTAACATAAGATAATTTGATAAGAAAATTGTTAAATTTGTATTCCTCTCAAATGCTCTGGACTTTCTGGACAATAACGACGAAAAATGAGTGTAAATTCGCGCCACAAACCTCAGGCTTATTACGCAACATCGTCAGAAAATTGCCCCTTTCCAGCCTGACGACGTAAATAACTATTCTGATATTGTTCTACAATGTGAATATAACTTTTTAAAAATTTAATACTTAATTCCCTAGGCCATTTAAGGGATTAAATATGAAATTTGAAGGAAAGGTCCTTAAATTAAATGACTCATAAAATATAAGGCTGTAATAATTTTGTATACAGAGAAAATGATTCATTTAAATCAAGAAAATCAGTTTGAAGAGATCCATCGTTTTGATTTAAGTATCAAAATGGTCACACGACAAAATCTTCCCGACAAAATCTAATTTTAAATCATTTTAAATAATAATATTATTATTCCTGACAGTTGTGATGGTATTTTTCGTGTAAATATACACAAAAAGTCATGATAAAAGGGCACAACGAGATTTTGAAGCGTATTTTGTCGGGGAGATTTCGTGGTGCAACCATCAAAATTCGTAAACTAAAAAATTTTTTTTTGTTTAAGTAAATTTTACTTGATTCAAGAATGTTTTATTTTATTTTTCAGTGCATTAAATGATGATTGAAATTCACAATAAAATTTTTATGGAAAAAATTAAAATCAACCAATCAGCACCCGACTATTTTTATACCAGATCAAATTTTGTTTATTTCTACTTACTCTCTTAAATCGAAATAGTGACTACAGTGACTATTCACTATTTTTGCAATGCATAGTAGATTACTAATTCAAATAGTGGTATGGTGCCTTGGCATTTATTATTAATAAATAAATAAATAAATAAATTTCATAGTCGAAAGTTACTATTTCGATTTAAGAGAGATAAATTCAAAATTTTCGGGGTTTAAAAAAGACTCGATAAACAAAGTCGAAACTAATAAATTCTCTGAGATTGTCATTACCTAATATTTTTTTGATTCTATCTATACCTTAAATACTGCCTAAAATTTTCCAAAATCCGCGACCTGAATCCCCACAATAAAAATCTCAAAAAGGATAATATAAATAAGATCCTGCGCACCCGCACCACCACGTTGCCGTCCCCACTCTCCAAAAGCATCTTCCTCTCTTCCTCTTCAGCTTACTCTACTACTTGACTCTATCGGCACCCGATACTCCTCCACACGTAGTAGCTCGCGAGTCGCGTTTTAGAGCGCGGAACATCTAGTTGTGCCGAGCCGATCCGAACCGACGGACGCGCTCTATCTCTCTCTCTCTCTGTTCTCTGTCCGGCAGGGTCACTAGATCACCATGTTCGAATCAAAATTCAAATCAGTGTCTAATTAAAATTCTTAAATCAAAAATATAAATACAAGAAAAAAAATTATATTATCCACTGCCTCGAACTCTGACCCGCGAGAGATACAGTATCACTTTTTTTATTAACCCACACATTAAACACAGCCATGAAACTCGGAGAAGTTTCAGTTTAAATGCGCTCGTAATCTTAAATATAAGTTAACAATGTAAAGTTTTTATAAAAATTATTTATTTTATTCCGACTTGAATCAAAAGTGAAATTTTTTAAAGCTTGTTCTTTATTATAGTAATAATAATGACGACTGAAATAAATTATTGTAATTAATAAAAAGATAGGAGCACTAATAAAGAGTGATGATAATAGTATAGACTTTGAAATAAATATTTATTTATTAATAAATCATAGATTAATATTAATATTAATATTAATAAATCACGAGTGATAGTGACGAAAGCAGAGTTTGTTATGATCTATTGTCAGTGTGAAACAAGTGTGGGGTCTAATTGTTATAAATATAATAATAAAAATATTACCGATAGTAATAGTAAAAAACAAGCGAGATGAGGATGAGAATGCACTCGATTTCACTTGTCTTCTCGGTATTTATTATTGCATTTCATGTGAATGAGATTTATTGCCGTATTTATGTAGATAGTAGTAAAAATAATCATAATAATGATAATGATAACGATGATAAGGGTAGCGATAGTTTCAACCGAACATTTATTGACGATCAGGATGGGAGACAAAGAAACTTCAGACAAAGACACCGATTCACGATTGACGAACTGTTGAATGCCAAATTCCCGAACCTCATCTCGGGGGATTTCGATCTGGATATTTGCAAAGCAGGTAAGGCTTATTACTTTATTTTTATATATTTTCATCTAAATAAATTGATTTATCAAAAATTCTTTCAAACAATATTTCTAGCAAATTTCATGCTCCATAATTTTTAATCAATTAAATTTTCTGTGGTGTTAATATAATTTGAGCTGAGGAAACTTTCAAATTTCCCGGTTTTTTTCTGATTTTGAAAGGACGTTATTTTTTTGTCATTGAAAATACTCCATTTAAATATTACATTAAATTTCATCGAACTTACTTAATAGTCAATTATTGTAAACTTTT